GGAGAACTGTGATTGATGTCATTGTGCATATCTAAAATGAAAGAAGTTGCAAATAAGGAGGTTAATGGGGGCAAATAAGCAAAGGCTAAATGAATGACTTTTGAGAATTTATGGAGAGCGGAATCGTAGAATTTTGGAGTCAAATAAATAGGAAATTGACTTTAACAACATACAGGTAGAGCATGGGGGCAAAAAAGGTATGTATACATCCATAAAGGATGTGTCTGACATATTGATGTTTCAAAGCTCAAAATAAAAGTTATTGATGGTGAGATAATCGATAGGGGGTGGGCAAAAATACCGGAAAATACCGGAATATTTGTATACCGTCATTTTCGGTACGGTATCGATAAATGGTTTCAAATACCGCGGTATACCGGTATAATACCGTACCAACTCCCTAACCAACAATTACTTTAAATTCTAAAATATTGTAAAATTCCATTACAATTTTGAAGCCCAAAATTAATACTTAGGTTGTTTACGAATACTAAAATATATACAAACATAAAGGTCCAATTTCCCAAACTCACTATAATCTTCTAGGGTTCTACTACGTAACATTCAAACAAACTAACCCTAATCTTCAAACAAACCCGTCCATCTTGTTTCATGAGCTTGTGAGTCGCGATGGCTGAGCCGTAGAGTAGTTGACGAGTGAAGAGGGATACAATTATGTGACGAGTATATATACATAGGGATTCCACAAGTCGAGATACACAACTTTGTTCGAAAGTCTTATTCAAATATTTTTTTAAAATTATAAAAATGACTAAATACACAATATCATATTAGGGATGAATGATTTTATCCATGTTGTTTGAATAATTTTATTTATTTTTGTTAGAGATCACTATTCATTCAATTATATCTAGATTGTTCAGGTTATTTTAGTAGAATGTGTTATTTTTTTAATACGTGGCATGATGAACTGCAAAAATATAGTAATAACAATTATTGTTCAGTATTGAGTATCACATCGTTAGATTATTAATTTTATTTTGTAACATTTTAATAATGGATGAAATATGTCGCTAGTAACACCGATTTAGTAAATTTTGTTAGTCTATGATAATTTGTCGTATTGGGAGATGCATGGTAGTTTACTGATACCGTACCGCTACTAAACCGAAACTTCAATATACCAAAATGTCGTATACCAAAATTTCGGTAAGGTAACAATATATAAATTTTGTATACCGAAAGTTTTGGTATGGCAAATTTGTGAGAGAAAATATTTGGTATATCGTACCGAGCCACCACTAATAATCGAGATAGAACTCCTCGTTGAGTGGGCCATACGATGACATCCCAAGTTGGGATTTTGGTGATTGATTACTACCTTTTGCGCTTATTTCTTGTTTCCATTTTATTTGTGCATCTTTTGCTTCTCTGGCGCTATGTTTATTTCGCGAGTTTTCTTGTGTGAATATATTGGGGGGGGAGGGGTATTGTGTTGGTATAGGTAGGGGTGTTCGTCGGTTCGGTTTGGTCGGTTTTCGGTTTGGTCGGTTCGGTTTGGTCGGTTTTTTTTCCCGAAAAGCTGAAACCGTAAACCGAACCGCACTACTTGAGTCGGTTTCGGTTCGGTTTCGGTTCGGTTAATATCGGTCGGTTCGTGTCGGTTTCGGTTAGTTTTAGCATGTTTTTGTCGGTTTTTGTCGGTCGGTTTCGGTTCGGTCGGTTTTTTAACCCCAAAGGTGAAACCGTAAACCGAACCGCCAATGTTTAATCGGTTTGAGTCGGTTTCGGTTTGAGTCGGTTTCGGTTTTGGTCGGTTCGGTTTCGGTCGGTTTGTCGGTCGGTTTCGGTTTTTCGGTTTTTTTGTTCACCCCTAGGTATAGGAGCATGAAGACAAATGAGGTCAAAATAAGTTTCAATATGCGTGCTACATGGTTAATGACTTTGACGGTACATTTGTACGTAATCAAGTAAAAGTTTAATAATTGGGATTTTCCTGAGGCTTTTAGTTCTATCCGGTTATTTTTGTCACTCATTTTGGAGTTCTAATCCTTGTATTTTGCAGAAATAGAGGAAAACGTATAGAGGAAAATAGTTATCATCACCAAACTCAGTATCTCCACAACAATTTAATTTATTGTGATTATTAGAAAGTTTAGTGCGTGAAATTACAAGCTCAGTGTTTGGTAAAAAGATATGGCTGATAAGTTAAAAAGGGATTAGAAATAAGCTCTAAATATCTACTAATTTTCTATATTTATTGAATGACGAGATGTTCTATTATGATGGCTCTAGGGAAGAGAAAATGGTTACATGATTATTGGTTTCTTGTAGGTGATTGCAACAACATATAATTTGACTATGGAGAACCACTCCACAACTTCATTTCTAGAAAGATTGAAAAGTCTGACAAGCCTCATTGGTGGCTCAATATCCTCGATTAAAACTCCATCAGGAGGGAACCCCCATTACAGCCTTTGGACCAAGCTTCAAGCAGCCATTGTTGATTCATAATCCCCACTGGAAAACTTTAAGGTAACAACCCACAAGGGATGATGGCGAATCACGAGATTTCGATTGATATCAATTTTCCTGAAAGTTTGAAATGTTGTATGAGCCCCACTTCACAATTCCTGATTGTAATATCTCAATGTAGTATATTTCATAAACAACATATCACATTATGAATATTGTGTAACTAAACTTAGTTTAAGTTATAAATGTACAATCACGTATAAGAAGAGGATCAAATTACATTATGTGTCTGCAAAGATGCAATTATAGATAAAATTTTAACACATTTCCTAAGTAAGAGTTAAATAGAACAAAATTTCTCAAATAGGAGTATCATTGTTTCTTCCGATTTCAAATTAGGACTCATGCACTCCTATATAGGGAATTCTTACCGTTTTATTCTTTTGATAGGATTACATAAATCATATATATACACTAGTAAAAACACATTTAGTCATCCAACTTTAGATTTTTTATTATTTTTACAGATATTTTGAATAATTTCTATGAAATTTTAGGCTATATACAAACACACACACACACATATGGGTTAGGTTGAGGTTGAGTGAGGCAGATGCCCCACTGCCCCCACCCTAGATATGCCCCATGTTCAGAAGTTCATCAGTCGAAACTTTACAGACTTCTTTAGATTGAGAAATAGATTGAATTAATAAGTTTCAAGTTTTATCAAATGAAGACAATTTAGAAACTTTTGAGATAGTAAACTATATTGTAGATCGAAGACTCAATTAAAGAGGTTGAAGGGTCAAAGATGCTAAATTCTATGAATGATAAATCTCCTAAAGGCATCCCTAAGAATAGCTACAAAAGTTTTAGCGGATCTCAGTGATGAATTCCAAATATTTCGGGAAGACATCGATCAATTAAAATCTTTGAAAAAAGAGCCAAAGAAAAGAGACAAAAAACAGCTGAACCTAACAGCAAACCAAACGTGTGTCGTGGATGTATATGTAAAACTTGAATACGCGAATTTACAACTGTCGTATCGAAAAAGGCTAAGTGATGTCAAACACAACTCAATAATTCCAGTGCTTCCTAATCTGTTCACACGATCGAGATTCACTAGACCTTGTTTTTAATATATACCGATCCTTAAAAAACAGTTCTTGTATGATACTTACGCTAAGTAATTGCAACAATAATTTTTTTAATAAGATCAAAGCTCTTTTGCGACTACTATTCATCATCTCCGATTAATATGATTGTTTCTTGACCTTGCCCTCACCTATGAGACATCTACTTTTTCATTCAAATAACTTGTACCTATATTTTAATCTCAAACTATTCTAGGAAACAATATCATCAAACAATTCATCTCACTCAACAATGCCCTTCCTAAAAATCGCCATATTACCATTTTAATATCCTAATAAGCTTGTATTATCAAGTGGAGTAATTTTCTATTCTCATTAAGCCGTTGTAATCTTTTTCTTTTTAATACTAGTAAAACTCATGACTTTTTTAAAAAGAAACTATATTCGTAGTAATTTTCATTACAAGTTAGTATCTTGTAGACTATAAATCACTTTATTAATTGGATGTAGACCAAAGTAAACAAAACAAGTGCATTTGTGGACTTGCTCTAATAATTTCTAAACAATTCACCTTACGTGTCTCTAACCTTTTAAAAACGGATCAGGACCTAACGCCCGTTAATCACTTTAACGGCTACCGGCCATCCCTCGCTTCCCATGCTTATAATAATCTGTTGCGTGTAGTTTCTCTCTTTTCTTTCAGTTTTCCATTTTCGTATTTATTGTTATTATTATTTAATTATTTAATTATTATATTTATATGTTGCGTAGTCCGTATTATGTGTTTTCTCCCTCCTCTCTCTTCCCTGATTGCTAGATTAGCTCGTCGGAGATTCTCGGAGTCTGGTCTTCTCGTCTCATTTTCACCCTTTTCCTTTTTCATTTTTTTTAGATTTTCTTGATCAATTTAAAAAATCTGAACTTTGTGGTCAGTTTCAATTCTAATCAAAGGCCACTCAGTCCCCGAATTTCCCATTTTCTTCTCGTTTATTTTTCTCTAGAATTGGTTACTTTTTTCTCTGTAGAGCCAGTGGGGAGAGAGGTCTCGGAATTCCGTCGTCCGGCGCTCACCGGAAAATTCAGAGCTGCCGGTCGGAGAATTGGGGGGTTCTGAGGAAGAAGAAAGAGGCATAGACAGAAGGAAATTCATCGCAAAACATAACTCGTATATAATATATTCATAGAATACATGTGGATAACGTGCAATGCAGGAAAAAAATTGAGGAGAGAGAAAGGCATCGAAGCTTTGGAGGTTCTTGCACGGCACAGAAACCTAGATCTCTTGTTTAATCTCCCATCTTTTGCCTTGCCTTATGGCGTAATTTATTCTAATTTTTTCTCCCCCTGAATTTCTTAAGCCTCACTCCCTTGCCATCCTATATAATCTCCTTTGCTGTTGTATCTCTTTCTATCTGTAACTTTTTGTTTGAAATTCCTCTTCTGCCTTCCCTCTGATTTTTTTTTGTCCTCAGAGATGGTTCTCAAATTCTAAAAAAGGTGGGTGTTTTATTTTTTCCGTGTTTCTGCAAATTATGTTACCGTATTTTGAAACATTTGTATGTTTTAGCCTTTGATCTTTTGATCGTTAGTGTTTGGGATTGAAGTTTGCTGTTTTTGTGTGTGTTTGGGCACTTCAATGCATGATCACCGGCTCACTGATGTGAATTCTTGTCTGCCCTGAAGCTTATAATTACTTCTTCTTATCCTGTGTTGTCATATAGCTTTTCTTTCTTTTGGCTAGTTGTGCTTTGGTTTTAAAGAATTGAAGAAGTTAGATTATGATTGCTTTGGAACTTCTAAATATAAAAGATGATGAGAAAGAAGGACATTTCATTGCCAGTTAGTGACTGAATGAATAACCCTTGCCCATGCATTACCTAATTTCTAAAAAAAATCCAAACTTGATACTAAAGCGGCCTTTTGTTTCCAATTTTTCTTGTTATTTTCGTAATTGAAGTGAATCCCAACTATCAAACTATCATTGGGAAAACAAACCGCATTTGATACTTATGGCAGATCATCTTTGAAGTTGGATGCTTTTTTACCTTTTCTACAGATTGCCTAATTCGTTCTCTGGTGGAATCAAAAGGTGCAACTTTGTAATCGTTTTTGTAGTGCCTTCTATTCCATTTTGAAAAATGCCATCCCAAATGGTGGATCCCCATAGTTTGTCTCCAAGGTCCTTCTTCTCTGAGGAGTTATGCTTTCATAATGAGGTATTGACTTCTTGTGCAATAGTGTAATTCTTTTTATATCATTTTCTGTTCATCCTTGTTAGAATGGAACTAATTTTGCGCATATGCCTAACTCTAGGGGCATGTGAGGACTTGCCTGTAAAAGAGGTTGCCATCATTTGGTTCATTGTTTTCTCTAATAACCAACTTATTCTTTTACCATACTTGGCAGATGCCGGTTTCATATTGGAAGTCAGATGGCCTGCCCAATTATCATGGTGAGTGGTAATACTATTACAGGCCAAAATGATGGTTCTGTCCCTTCGGCAATGTATCACATGATTCACCTTTCTCTTACAGTTGTATTTGCTCCTAGCATTTTTGCCTTTTTATCCCCTCCTCCCCTCCACATGGGCTGTTCGCTATCATCCAAAAGTCTTTGGTTACTAAATCCAAGTTTGGATTTTTATTGCTAAAAGTTCCCAAAATTGACTCTCCGCACTCACACTTCCTTTTTGCTTCGGGGCCGTGGTAAAAAGGATGAGATAGAGACATTTCAAATTTATTATAGCAAAAAGTAGAGTTCTGGAATACGACAATAAAAAGGGAAGCCCGGCGCACGAAGGCATCCCCACAAAGTGAGGGTCTGGGTAAGGGTCCCACCACAAGGGTGTATAAAGGGCAGGCATTCCCGTCAAATTTTGACAAGAGGTCACACAACAACACCTTGACCGGTGCGCGAAGGCTTTCGTTCTCTGGAATACGACAAATATTGCATTAAATACTGTCATCTAATATAAGCTATATATACAACTGCCATCCAGGTTGCCCATCTAGATGCACTCATTTACAAGACATTGATATCTTTTTAACATACAAGTATCTAGTTTAAAAATACTAAATCTTTATTCTCTTACTATTATCAATGTGTAAATATCTTTAATATCCGAAATCCATATTTGGGCCTGCGGAATGTTGTAATAACACACACATCGTGAGATTTATGAGGGGGATGTTGATCATGAACAATTTCGTTTTATTTCTTCTTCATGAAGTTACTCCTCAAGGGAAGCCTTTTGATTCTGGGCTAAAACTACAAGTGTGATTTAAATTAGTTTTTTCCTTTGGTTTTGAATGCCTTGACTTTTTGTAATGCCTTTCACAGGTCTGAAAATGGATGAAACAGTCAGAGGAGGTGGACCTTCTTCACCCTACATGAACCAGTTCTCCATCAGTTCTCAGATGGCTAAGGGATTTGGTGCTCATGATCCTGAAATAAGCCCGGAGCAGAAAGTAAACCCAATTATGCAAAAGCATGCAATTGGGCATCAAAAAGTTGTCAGCTACTCTTTGCCAAGAACTCTTCATAGTGATCTAGGCACAAGATCTATTTTAAATACGGAATCTGCATTTTATTCAGTGGAAGGTGACAAATTGACCTCAATGGGGATTCAACATGAAAATGGTCTTTTCTCTAGCTCATTATCGGAGTTGTTTAGTAAAAACAGTAAGCTCACCCCCACCAATGTGTCAATTTACTAACCTAATTGTGATTGATCTTTCTAGTTCCTTCATATTATCAATCTTGAAACTGATTCTTTACAGATCAGTAATGAGTAATGTTGATATATCTTCTCCTAATAATACGAAATATTTTATTGACATACTAGACACTTCATTATTGCAGTGCGACTTTCAATGAGCAATTTTTCCAATGGAAACTCTATTGGTCCAACAGAAGAATCACACTGTGAGGGAAAAGAGGAACCTTTGGAATCCCTTAAAGAACTTGAGGCTCACACTATTGGCAATCTTCTCCCTGATGATGATGATTTGCTTTCTGGAGTTACAGATGGGATGGACTGTTTTCACCAAGCCGCGGATGATATGGAGGATTTAGACCTATTTAGCAGTGTTGGTGGGATGGAGCTAGGTGAAGATGGTTCTCATCGAATTGGTGGCATCAAATCTAGCACGGGGGTTATTGGGACAAATACAGCTAAGAAGTTGCCAGTTGGATCATCTTGCACAACATATATGGACAAAGCTTTCAGCCGTGGGATATCATCAATGGGTGGACTGGGTCAAATGAACAATGAGTTTAGGGGATCGCCGAATCGCTACCCTCATTCTATTCCGAAATATCATGATGGCGGTTTGACCAATTTAATTCCTTCCAATTCTCCAGGAGGCATTGCCACTACAAATATGAAAGCTAGGTCATCCGAGTTGATTAATAGCCATCAATATTGTAGACTTGGCTCAAATGGGCACTCAGTTGAATTGAATGAAAATGGTAAGTTTCGATGATTTTCTATATTTATATTTCTCCTTGGACTGATATCTTCAAATTAAGCTAATCAAATTATGGACTCGTAAATTTAGAGAATGTGTGTAATAAATATGGCTTATAAAATACAAATAAAAAGAAAAGCAATCTGCGAAGATGTCAAAAGCATAACTCCAGCCACCACATGTTCGACTTTGATAAGGGATAAAACAGCCCCTACCAGAGTCGTCAGAATCCCAATTTTCTATTTTCCTTTTGAATAAAATTGACTATACACTATTACTTAATTTGGTCCTTGACTTTTTCGTGGACTTAATTTGGCCTTTGACTATGCAATTTGGACACAATTTGGTCCTCGTACATATTTGGTTCAAAAGTAGTAGAGTATTTTCTTCCTTTCACCAAATGTAGACCCAATTTAGGACTCTGTTTCATATGCAACTACTATGTAATTTGGTCCCAAATCCGTGCACAATGGACAAAAAATAGCCTTCTAAAATATGGCTGAAGATTAAATTGGATTTGAATTTGTGCAATCATGGAGCAAATTTAGTAAAAAAGAAAGTAAAGGACCAAATTTAGTAACGGTGTGCATTTCAAGTACACAATCTGGCATTATCTCTAAAATAATATTGAAGAGAATACTACAAACAAAAGAAATCATCTATTGCTCAAATCCTAAAGGATTTATAGCATTCTTAATCTGTAAAAGGATGTTACAATGTTGAGTTTGATTAATTATCTCCTTTGCTCAGGTTTTTGTCCCTCTGGTAATGGTCTTTGTCCAACCCCCGGGAATCCATATGCATGGAGCAGCTCACCCCAGCGACAAGCCCAAAGAGTGATGTGGCCAAACTCGCCGTCATATGTCACTGGATTTAGTCCTGCTACTGCACATCTCCACCCACAGCTACATGGAGCACCACCATCTCATTTGCTGAGTGGACGACTTGTACCTGCAGTAAACAACCACCACCATCACGTAGGGTCAGCACCATCACTCAATCCTTCCCTCTGGGATAGAAGGAATGCTTATTCAGGAGAATCCCCCGATGCATCCGCTTTCCACCCAGTTGGTTCTCTTGGCAGTTTGCGGATATCTGGTAACTCACCCCAGCAGTCTTTAGAGTTTGTTCCTCATCAAAGTATCTTCTCTGCCGGAGGAGGCGGAATGCCTTCCAAAAATGTTGTTGGGTTACACTCGCCTCATCAGAGATGCATGATGTTTCCATCAAGAGGCCAAATGATTCCTATGATGAATACGCCATTTGATTCTCCCAATGGAAGGGCGAGAAGTAGGAGAAGCGAAGGCACTTTGAGTCAAACGGAAAACAAGAAACAGTTTGAGCTTGACATTGATCGAATTTTGCGTGGGGAGGATAAGAGGACAACATTGATGATAAAGAACATTCCTAACAAGTATGTTGCATCACCTGACTATGTTTCTCTTTATCATCCTTAGCTGTTTTTTTCAATCTTTAGTTAACCTTAAATGTTAGCTATAAATATTGAAAGTTTGAAACTAGCCAAGTAGGTTGGGCACCTGATTTCACAACCTTTTGTCCATCTCATGATAAATGCCTTCTTTTAAACAACTTTGTTTGGTATGCATAACAGCATAAGCCATTTATTCTATATATAATAATACATACTATATACTTCGTATTTATAGTGTGTTTCTTTTTCTCTTACTTAAACACATGTTTCTTCATTTTCTCTATGGTATTTCCAGATACACCTCAAAGATGCTTCTGGCTGCAATTGATGAACGCCACAGAGGAAGTTATGATTTCATCTATTTACCTATTGATTTTAAGGCAAGTGAATAAAGTATTACCCATGGATCCCATTTTTAAGATTGCCTATACTAAACGTGTAGTATGATGAGGTGGCCAATGGTTATGACACTCTACAACATGTTTTCATATTTATTGCAGAACAAATGCAATGTCGGTTATGCCTTCATCAATATGACTGATCCTTCCCTGATAATTCCATTTCATCATGTATGCTTCCCTTAGACCTTCACTCAGTAATTCTTACTGATTTCAGCCCCCATTTTATTATTATATCACAATGTGATACTGTGATTACTGTCAGTTGTTCATACTATATCTACAAATTTTTGGTCTGACAGTCATTTAATGGAAAGAAGTGGGAGAAATTCAACAGTGAAAAGGTGGCAACACTTGCATATGCACGCATTCAGGGAAAAGCTGCCCTAATCGCCCACTTCCAGAATTCTAGCTTGATGAATGAAGACAAGCGATGTAGGCCCATACTTTTCCATACTGATGGCCCCAATGCTGGTGATCAGGTATGACCCATAGTCTAATCTAAAGCAAGTCGCTGAAACATTTGTCTCACCAGAGTATAAAATATTAACCAATATATATGATCCCAGACACTCTTTTAAGGTGTCTTAATACTAGTCACGATTTAACTGGCCGTAGCGTTGGCATTTTTTCTTAACAGAGAGATGTATTACTTACTAGCTATCCTTTGCAGGTGCCCTTCCCCATGGGTGTTAATGGAAGGTCAAGACCGGGGAAAGGCAGAATCGGCACAGTCGAAGACAGCCAAGAGAGTAGTAATGCGGAGTTGGGCAGAGATCCATCGTCCATTTCCTTGGAAGAATCGATCTAAAACACACCACTTTCATTTTTGTTGGCAACTAACCCTTTAGGAATGAGGAGGTATGAAGGTACGTGGGCTACAAATATTATCTATCCATCCACCCAATTTTCTTTCATGTATTCTATCCGATCACGACTGGTCGAGGAAAAGCGGGAAAGGAAGAGGATAAATAGTACCCACTTCATATTCTCTGTTTCTTTGCCGACGATGTGAAATCTATGTGACCAATGGTGACCCTTATGTTTCTACTGATGAGATCCCTACCTAGGAGCTGAGCTTCAAAAGTTTTGGAGATTTTAGAAGTACTAATTGCTTATATGTGTCTGTATGTGTACAGTGGGGTGGTGATGGGGGGGGGGGGTTGTACAAGTTATGGTGAGTGAGAATTGCTGTGTAAGGTTGGTTTTGACTTTATTGTGCTACCTAACCTTTGGCATTTTCGCTTTTTTCTCGCGGACCTCGCGGTTCATACTGCACGTCTGCACTGCAGTCTACCAAGAGAAGCCGCCAGAGAACATTGTTTCTTTTGTTCTGTTATTCGCAATCTGAAGAGAATACATTTTTCTTTTCTGTTCTTAGTTTTGCTCCCTTTTGTTTTGAATGAATTCATACTACCAGTTTTTAGAAGTGTAATTTTCATCATTCTGTAACTTCTAATGATCAAGTTACTCTGAAGTAAAATGAAAAATGCACTTGTAGTCGAAAGTTCATACAATACACTACAGATATGTTTTAACTTTTAAAAATGATGTTTTCTATACTACTTGATTTTACTTCTATCTAGGGATGGACCCGAATCGGGCTGTACCGGTTCTTGAAAAGTGGAGCCCTATACAGGCCTGGCATGTTCCAGTTCCCGACCCATTTTTTTTAAATGCAAATTGGGCCCATCCGGGCCCAAAAATCACGCCAGAAGTCCGCCCCTTATAACCACCGGGCCGGTAGCAGGCCTGGAAAACCGAGCCAGGCTAGGCTGGTCCCGGGTTGGGCCGCCTGGGCCCAGTCCATCACTACTATCAAGCTAAATAATTATGTAGTATTTATAATCAGGGCAGTTGTGATTAGGCTGAAACGCTTTAAAAATGTGCAATAAGAGAACCACAGTTTGGCTTGGTATTACTTCTCACTCTTATAAGTGGCACGTTCTGAAACAATTATTTTCATTTTCAGTATTTAAAACAATCTCTTTCAAAATAAAAAAACCCAAATTACATTTGTCGAAAAATAACTGCATGATGTTTTATTTCATGAGCTTATATGGCATTATATGATTATTATATCCATATGCCTCTGTATTATTCATTCAATTTTGGTGTAATGAAAGTGTTGGTGGTTTGTTTAATTTCTTCTGTTTTCATGTCGTTACTGTTAATGAGTTAATGACCAAGCCAAGTTTGGGGAACCCCATGAAATCATAATGCATGGATGAGTCGCTTATCTATTTATATATAAGAAAAGAATAGGCTGTGCAAAGTACATCTTTGCCCTCAAATCCAACGTGTCCTCCAGCCCTTCATTCACTCTTTTTCTCTCGACGATCCACGTGGCTTCGTGAATAGAAACCACCGATTAAAAATTCATTCCCCTGCTACTCCTGCGCATACATATCTCTCGGCCAAACCAACAAAAAACCAGCTTCTTCTCCGATAATTCCTCGACAGTTTTTTATCAAGGAGCCGATTCAAAATTAAAAAACTCCCTTCCCTCCTGCGTACACATCTTCTCAGCCAAAAAAACAAGCGCAGGCAATCTTCGCCGAAAATTCCTACATAGATTGGGATATTCCGCTTGAGAGCTTGCCATGTATAACACGCCTCTCCAGCTTCCCATCCACGAAATTATGGCAAGTTTGAGAGACGTCAAAGCATAAGGTACTGCTCTACAAGTTATTATAGCTATATATACTCGGTATATCATTAGAATAGAATATAAGTAAGGTTTTATGCTATTGCCCTCTCTAATAATGCAGGTACGCCGTCTATTCTCATTTCATCACAAAAGAGTAATTTTTTCCTTAAGAGTAGTGGCATAGGTAACACACATGTTTTTACATTCCTTCAAATGTGTCTTTTTTCTCTGTTTTATACAGCCTGTTTTGTTTCATTGTCATTTTTTGTGTGTTCATCCATCTTAACAAGCCCACCTTTGTCCATCTATATTGAACTATACAAGCAACATTCACTCAAATGCCTCTTTTTTTATCTGTTTTGTTCATCCTGTTTTCTATATGAAGTACTAATTTGTTGCTTTGTTGCTTTTGTTCATAAATGACTGTTGTGTCATATCTTAGGTCTATGTGTATTCTTTTTTTTTTATTCTTTTTTCTTATGCTGATTATATTATCCCACAGAACAAGCTTGATCATATATAACTTTCTTCCTTTTCACATAATCTTCTTCATGTAGAAATGTTTGATATGTTCGCAATGACAGTTCATATTTTTCGGTGCCCTTCTATAACCATAGTCTTATACTTAGCAATGGTGTGGAGATGTTTATATCCAACATGAAACTACATGAGCTTAAGTTTAGATATCCAAAACTTGCTTGGTACCTGAGCATTAATACCCCAAGCGTACATGGCTTTCATGTATTTTGCTTCACTGTAAACTGAGTCTTATGGGCTTAGGCCGCTTAGCAGTGCAGCCTATAGGGGGTTATTTACAGAAACTTGATTTCTATAATACACAATGATAGTTAAATACTAAAATAGCAAGATGTAATCTGTAATTAGTCTACTTGATATTGAATTGAAAAATATCCCAGCAGTTAAGCCTCCCACATTAGTCTACCTAATATGGGATTTGTCTCCCTGGATCCAGTTTTCAATCTATTGAATGAAAGTAAGCTTCTATTATGGGGTTGCTGAATTTGAATGTCGTAAATTAACTTCTAAAGGTAGTAAATGCAACTGACAATTATTTTTTTTTTAAAAAATGAGACTATTTAACGGGCATAAACTAATTTTTTGCATCAAGAAGTGACAAATGTAGCTGTTATTATAGAAGAAAATTATAAATAATGTCTACTTTTAATTAATTAGTAGCTAACCATGGTTTCAACCGGACAAGAATAGACATTTTTTTCCATTAACAAAAACATAGAGTGCTTGGTCAAAAGGAATTCAGTTTCATTCATGCAAGCCGTGGCGAATCAAACCCTGTCAAAAGAAAGCAGTAGCTTGAAATTCTTTTGAAAAATTAATCAGACTATTTGACTCGGATAAATGAGTTCATTGTGTGAAGAAGTGACAATTGTAGTTGTTATAGTGGACGGAAAATCTAAATTATAGTAGCTCATATTTTTTTCCTCATTTTTTACATGAGTTTTAGGTCTACCAAAGCATATGAAATGTTCAATGAAATGTTCATATTAGGAAAATAGCAGAGAAAGAACAATGCTTGCGGTTTTTAGTGACTTCAGACAAAATATTTTCTGTCTTCTATTTTCAATCCACTCAAAAAAATTCTACTTTAGTGAATTTAGTCAATTATAGGCATCTGCCAATACCCGCGGTTTGAATTTTTCTATAACCCCATGTGGACTATATTTGATTCATATTAATTAAAACTCAAGTATGAATTTTCAAACTGAATCTTTCTGAACATTCTAGCTACCTCACAAGGTAATTCTAAGCTCCTAATTAACTCATTATTATTTGCAGATTTGGACTCTTTTGGTCACTCTAATCTCAAGTAAGTTTATAGTCATTGAATTAATAATATCAATTTGGTATACTGAACCTTTTCACCACTTTCACACAAGTTCTAGCATAGGTCAAGTGCACAGTTACAGGAAGTTGGTGTGAAATACGTGTAACATGAATTTAGAAATTACTTGAAACCCTTATTTAGCTAAAAGGTTAAAGAAGCAAAAAGAGTTAAATGTGTGTCATAGATATAACCACATTGTATGTTTTGTTTTTGTTTTTCCTGTGTCACTTTTTCTAATTGTTACGTTTTTACTTCATTAAAGCAAGTTGATCATTCTCAAATAAGAACCTTTATATAAGAACATGTTACTAAATGCCCTTGTCCTCTAAATTAAGTTTAATGGCTACTTAATTGCTGCAACATAAAAGGTGGATAAGTTCTCAGCCTGTCCTCAATATTTTTCTGTTACTTAATAACTATTCCAGTGATGAGAAGCTTTATATCAATGATTTCATATAGGTATCCCATTTTATATCTACTTAATTATATTTGCAAGGTGGCAGCTGCAAGAAATTAGATTCAGTAGTTACTACATGCCTAAGGCCCATGATGATCTTCTTAAAAAGGAATATCTCAACTTATTCATGACTTATCCTAAAAAAGATCAAACTTTAAGCTCTTTAAAGTTTAAACTAAACCTTAGGATTCAGTTTTAGTAGGCATGTGAGTTGAATTTCAGAATTATTTATATTTTTTTTAAACAAAACTAATTATGTGATTTAAACAAAACTAACCTTGATCATACCTAAGCTTCTTTTATGTCCATTTACTTGAGATTTTCATTGTATTGGTGGCTAAACTTTCAAGCATTGTAAGCCATAGATAATTTTAAATGTTATTTTTTAAATGATATTTCTTGAAGTCTATTTTCTAATCTAGCGCCCATTTCCTGTCCATAAGTGTTTGAGACTTCTAGGCTAAGCTCACTGTGCTTTTGACCTCTTAACTCCCCATATATAAATGCAAATCCAAATATGATTATTCAAACTGAAACTTTCAGAACATCCTACCTCACAAGATGTAATTATGAACTTCTTAATCACCAATTAACCACCAGAGTATGTATTCTTTTTTCTGGAATATGTTTTTGCTGATTGTATATTTTCTCGAATATATATTTGCAGGTCAGTCAATCTTATTGCACTATTAGGGAGATCCTAAGTGATATTGCAAGAGTATAACTCTTAGAGATATTGAAGGAAAGGTTAATATCTTAACTTTTTGCTTAGTTCTATGATAGCAGACATGTGGATCATGATATTTCATAAGCAATTTCCAATAATTATCTCTATCTCAGTTAAAAGTGTATTCTTTCATGATGTATCAACGTGGTGGACATAAAACAGTATTTTTAAAAACCTTTGCTTAGATTGTATTTTGGAACTTTTCAATTTGGTATACTTTTCGATTTGATTACACAGCAGGAGTATTAAAAAAATACTCTAAACAAAAGGAAAGCAAGAAGAACAAGAGGCAATTAAAAACGAAGAGCAAGAACAGTCTTTAAGTCCATCTCAATCAGCGCCTTGACTGAGTTTGAGAGGCCACTTTCCGATCTAAAGTACGCAAAACGGTTGCTCTGAATTCCTTCTTGATCCAACATATGGACAACACCATTGATTTCCTGAAGACAGTGGACTACCTGTATTTGAAGATTGTGCATTTCAAATCGGATAGTTTCTAACATCTGAATATTTCTTGAATTTTCTTCTGAATGGCTTTGTAAATCGTCTCAGAATCTGTTTGCAGTTGAAATCAGGTTCCCCCCATTTCTACACCACTTAATAGCCACAATTATAACTTTCAATTCAGCTTGAAGGATATAGATAGCTTGAAGGGGAAATGAAGCTCAGCCACAAAATTTCCGTGAGCTTCTTTAAGATTGCTCCACCTGCACTTTTGCCACTCTGGAATGTCACATCTGTATTCAAGTGAAGA